TTAACATCAATCCATTTGATAATGGTATCACTATCCGTACCATGCAAGGGATGACCTAGTAGTGTGTCTGCAGCTTCTAAAGCACCACATTCTCTATTATTCAATGAACGCATCGCAAAATTCCACAGTTTCGATGCCAACGGCTTATTGGAATCTATCATTGCAAAGTCCATATTGCATTTTTCCGACTTTGTCGTGTATTTTGTTAAATAAGAGTTTAAAAACTCTGATTGTTCTCCAATAAACTGTATGTATGTCCATATTTCCCTTCAAACCTAATTTAATAGCCGGATTATAATCATTGATAAACCTTACCGACTTCTTCCGAGGAAGATCGTACAATCTACTCTTACTACGTAAAGTTTTTCTACCCACTATCGAAGTAATGACGTCTCTCAAAACAAAATTTTCAGTAACTGGTCGAGGAAAATCGAATCGACACCTTCTGTAAATATTCGTTTCGGTTTTCTTCGTACGCATGCAATACCAGTTATGTTTATGATTTTGATCACTTATAACTGTTTCGTACAACATTGGCGAAACGCTTTCGTCTGGAATTTCGCACGTCACGTATTTTCGAATAAACGCAACAATTTCCTCATTTGACGATTTTCCGAGTACTGGAGCATCTTTTATCCAAATCATACAGTGTACGTGCTGGATACCTCTACTTTGATATTCCAGTCGCCAGAAGTAGTGAATGACCTCTCCTATTGGGTTGTCGGACGAACAAATAAAATCAATCATGGCTTTAAATTTTATACACATGAATCTAGACGTACTCACCGGATCGTATGCGATTAGTTCGCTGATACCCAACTTCTCCTTATCGGAATTCATGTCTCGTAAATATTCAGCCAAATCGGACCATTTCCGTTCACTAGGACTTAAAGTTAAAAACCACGTCGCCGGACCATAATGCAGAGTCATACACTTTACATTATTGGACGGTTGTCGCCAAAATTGATCCGTATTTCTCAGTTTTGCAAAAATACTCATTAAATTCGATTCCAACTGATTGTCTTTCAATTCGTTCAAGTACCTACCAGCAGTGTACCTCTCTCGTGGATTAGCAACCATCATCGTATAATACATTCCATTGTTCAATTGTCGGTAGTTAGCATCATTCAGAAGAAAGAACAAATACTGCAGTTCGTTCTGAATCTACTGTGTTTCGACATCAACCGCGCTCTGACAAATAAATATTCCGGCAATGCAAAGTTTCTATCTTCTCGTTGTTCATTGATACCCTCGGGATATAAATCGGAGAAACACATGACATCCAGATATTTATAACGATTATCCATTGGAACATCTTCAATTTTCAACATTTTATAGAGTTTCAATGCAGATTCGTTACCGATTCTTTTTGCGTTCATTGGGTATATTGTATACTGATCATTAATACCCGAATCAGTAGTAATTTGCGTGAGGAAAGCTTTAAGTTTTAAAACGGTTTCATTATTGTTATCTTCGTTATGCTTGTTATGTACAGTACACCTCGACAGCGCCTCAACCACCTCCTCTATTTCATCACTATCGCTTTCGTCATGAACGATCCGATATTCCGTTTGTGGTAGCTTATCATTTATAAGATCGTCAGCCGACGCTGGAAGACGAATTTTCGAGTAGTGAGGTAATGGTCTTTCAACCATTGTAAAGCCTTGTACACTTTATTAATATCCACTAAATTTTCCCAAAC